TTACTGGACAACCGAACCCGTGTCTGTCGTTTTCTGACACCTGGATTCCTCTTCTCTTCCTTCCTCTATTATTTAAAATCATCAAAAATTGAACTGCTGCTTGTGTCTGTCGTTTTCTGACACCTGGATTCCTCTTCTCTTCCTTCCTCTATTATTTAAAATCATCAAAAATTGAACTGCTGCTTGTGTCTGTCGTTTTCTGACACCTGGATTCCTCTTCTCTTCCTTCCTCTATTATTTAAAATCATCAAAAATTGAACTGCTGCTTAAAATTTAGGATGGAACCAATACTCTGCAAGGTGCCAGATGTACTTTTGGGTATATGTGTACATTTTTGAGTCAATCTTGACTCCTGGTGACTACATGGATAATTGCATGCATTTTTATTGGCAACATTTTTGGGATGTAGTTTGCTATTGCCTTCTTCCTAGGGGTGAGAAAAAGTGACTGGTCCAAAATCAACCAGCTGGGTTCATGCCTAAGGCAGTACTACAACTCACAGTCTCCTTGTTCTAGCCTGATGCCTTTAACCACTACGCTAAACTGGCTTTCACAAGACATACTAATGGTGCTAAATAATAAAACAAAATCTAGACAAAACACTAAACCCTAGTTTATTTTAATATACATAAAACAAACATCAAATAGTTTATTTTGTGGGCTATAAAACATTAATTCTTAATCACAGAATTTCTTTGTAAGTAATTTGCAAATAAATCTAATAATGACTAATTAAGATGGCTTTTGAACAAAGTATTACAGCATTATGGGGTTTCCTGTTAATTTACTAAAATCTGGAGATTCAACCTATGATCTTCTCCCATGTGTGTTGTCTTATAAGGACAATTCTACCAATGTGTTAGAACCACTTATCACTATAAACAAACAACTCCAGATATTGCTTACCTGTAAATTAAATTGATCACATTACATAATAAAAAATAAAACATTAATTACTCTAAAATATATTTTGCTAGCACATTCACATTTTAGGCATTCATAAGAAAAATAAAATTCAAGTTACAATATGATTTGTGCAAGGCTATAATTCAAGTATTTACATTATGGAAATAATTCCTATTCCAGGCAAGCAATTATCACAATCATTGTCTATTGGAATACAAAAAATTACTCACTGGTAATTCATCTTTCTGATTCCAAACACCAGTGCACTGTCTTTGTTCTATCACAGCTTTTATATTAATTAGAGCTGGCAATGCTACACAACCTGCTGAAAAGCTGAAGAAAGCAAAATATCACCTTCAAGTTTAATACTGTAAAACTTCTCTTGTAGTAGTTAATAAGTATTGTATTTACCCAAAAGGAGGATTCCCCCCCCCCCAGATAATTAGCTATGAATTGGGTTATGGGGTAGGAGGGGATTATCTTACATTTGCTGAGAACAGAAGATGCTGACCCCAATGAATGGAAGAATGAATTATGCAGACTTTAGTTTGAATGTGTTTGAGGATAAGCTGAGGATCAGCAATTGCTTGAGAGGGACTGTTTGCATGATGAATGTAATTATTTTGTAACATGTATTTTCTCTCTCTTTTCTTACTTATCTGTTCACTTACCTCTTCCCTTTACCTCACTTCCATTCAGTTTGCCTCCCTTCCTTTTCCTTCCTCTCTTATTAGGGCAACTACTCCTTCCTCTTTATCTCTTTTCCAAACTTTTCTATTTCTATAAAAGGAGGGAAGGGAATGTGTGCTTATGTACTTGTGAGTACAGTGTGTAAAACTGGTCTGTGTGAGAGACTGTATAAAAAAAGTGGGGTTCAATGCATTCTATAAATGGAGTATCTTACTTTATAGGCAGATAATTTTAGTTCTATTATTGTTGTTTTTGTTATTATCACTATCCGGGCCCTTCCCTGTTTTGGAAGTGTTGACAAGTGTATGATATGGACATATTTATTGCTTGGGGAAAGAGAAATCTCCAGGATTACTTTCATGTGGAGCTGGCAACCCTGAGTTGACAACATGGAAAATGGTGGCACTGCACAGTCATCTGTATTTGTTTATCTTTTTCTATCTACTTTTCCTTTTATGGTGGAAGGGTTGTCTTACATTAGTAGTAATCTTCTTTTTGAGTAAATATGATAACATATTCTGAATTATATTAAGAATGCTATCAGTGTGGTCAAATAATGTAAGAAGCTTACTAGAACAATGGCTATTCTTCAGATACTCATTTAAAATAGAACCAAAATAACATCATGTATTCACCATGCTACCTTTTGTATATAAAGTTCCCATTGTAGAATAACAATACTCAAATGTAATGCAAAATCAAATTTACTTCAAAAGCAAACTGCATCTTATGGAAATAGCTTTGAAAAATATACACATAGCTGGCCTAAATAATGTACAACCTCATTTTCATGATTGGCCAAAATTAAGGCAAAGCTAAAAATAAAATAGCAAGGTACAAAAACTCATTTGAAGCAGCCTAATACATAATTCACAACAATCTCTTTACACTAATAAACTTGCATAAAGCACACCATACCACACTTGTCTAGGATGGGACAGAAGGCTGCCAACACCATAGTTAATGGCAACAGTACCCAACTCTTCGACTCTTTCAGCTTCACAAAACGCAGCCTGTTTATGAAACCTCACAAATCCAGGCAAAAGCGAGCCTTTTCCAGGCAGTTCAATAAACAGCTTGCAATCATCTCAAACCATAAACAGTTCTCTGAAGCAGCTCAGGCAGAAAAGCAACCACCTGATTAGGATTGATCGAAAAGTACATATATCAACTTCTTTCACAACTTGTTTTTGATTAACCCAGCAATTAACTCTCAGGAGGCCACATATTCCAAATAATTTGAAATGATGGGGTTAATCAACCCTATCCTTGCAGGGCTGCCATAGCATCCATATAGTACATGATATTTTTTGCAGGCTCTGTCAAGGATGCAATTGCTTTCAATCTTTTCTGATATATATTATGGAATGACCTGCACTTGAAGATGAGGCTAATCTCATCTTTTGTTCAGTTTAGAAAGAGGTTCAAAACAGATATTTTTTAGCCAGTTCTTTAAGACTTTTATGTTGTTTATGCTGATTCCTGGTTTTAACTTGGAGGGCTGGATTTTATTTTTGTTAATAAATTTGGAATTGTTAATAAAATTGGAATGTATGAAAAATCATAGCATTTTGTTTAAAAAAAGTAGATAATCCAGCCAGAAAAAGCATGTAATATGAAACAAGCCATACCTAACACTAAGAGGTGATTCAACTGAGAGTCCCAATAATGCACAAGCATCCCTCGTAAAGATATCACAGATGTCTGCCCACTGATTTGCATCTAGTAAATGGACATATGGAGAATTTTCAATTCCTTGCCTCAGGTATACCAGGCTTCCCATCAAAATTTGAATATCTGTAAAAGATAACAATTTATAATTTAATTATTTTATAACACACACATACACACACAATTATATTGAAGTGTGAGTCTTTATTCTAAAAAGAAGCATAATTTTAATATATATGGAACAGATAAAAAATGAAAATTCACTAGTAATATCTTATTATTCAACTCATTCAATTCAATTATTGATAATGAAATTATTCAATTCATTATCAACCACAATTAATATATATGACATTTTAGAAACTGTTCAATATGTGGCCTAAAGGACCACCTAAAGAGTTCAAAGATAGCTGTAGATGCTTTCTTTTGTTTTTTTGCATTCACAGTTCTTAAAAGTTAAAGTTTTTTAATCTCCTCCACATGGTGCTTCAGAAGGAAAAGTAGAAATGTGCTTCTATGAAGCTTAATTATGGTTATAATTACACTCAAGATTTGTATCTTTAGAACTCTCTAGGTAGCCCAAATAAAATTTTATTTGACTCTGTTTTCTTTTATACCTATACCAGACATCCATGCAGACAATGAGAAAATTTCAAGAAGAAGCCCTATTATTTTCTTTAATGCCTTTATTTTTCAGTCTCATGTTCTGATTCACAATCTGCAAGTGAACAAATACATCAGAACAAAGATAAAATTCCTCAAAAAAACAGGATCTGGATAGTTCAAAAGCACTGGCCACAGGCGCTTACAGAGTTACATAAAAAATCAATAGTTACTTTAAGAATAGGCAGTTCTCTTTAGTGAGATATGTAAACAAATGTTTAATTCTTAAATAGAACTAAGTGAAGAATAAGTGTGTTTTTGCATTTATTTCATGAAGAGCAGTCCTCTGCTTTGCTGGAAAACAAAATACTTCTAAGGATGGACAGGAATCCAAAAATAGATTTATAATTTGGCAGTGAGAAAATGTTTTCTCTAAAAGGAAAATGAACAGGGCAGTAAAACCTCCATTGATTGAGACCTTGGCTGGGTTAAAGTAGCTCTCAGATTCAGATACCAAAAAAACATCCTTGGGGAAAAGCCTTCTAAAGAAAAGGCTTCACGTTCTATCTCTAATGTTTCTTTTTATAGGACTAGACAAAAGCACTAACATTTGTAAATAAATTGATTTGTAAGCACAAACATCTGAACAGAGCAACAAAACTATTTGGGCCAATAAAATATCAGTAGAGTATTCAATACATACACCTTTTAACCTCAAATACAGTTTGGTGTCTGGCACATAGTATTTGATGTTGCTTACCTTTCTGATGATTGAGAGCAAATGGTTGAAAGTTTTTTGCATACTGCAATGCTTCTCTCTGGTTTGCAGTTCCACCCATTAATAAACTAATAAAATATAATCTATGCAGCTTAAATTCTAGGGAACTATTCTGTGTCATAAGCATTTCTCTGTTCGAAACAGCCCACCTAAGAAATAATGGGATAATTAATTTTAAGAAAATAAAAACAAGTTTACCTTAATTAGGATAATGATTTACTTATTTGACCTTTGCCTAAATATATTTGCACTAAAATAATGTTATTTACTATATTTCTTATATATTAGCACCAGCAAGCTACGCCGGAGGTAGAATAACACTACTTTCTCCAGTACAGGCATCTTGGATTTAGCCTGCAAAGTGAAATTTCAAAATCAATGTCTATTATTTTGCAGTGCAGCTTGCTATTTAGAAATCATTTCATAGAAACTGTGGCGTAACAGTTCCTGATAGCTGCCATCCAGTTAGAGCCAGACCAGAGTTCCAGAGAAATGCCTTTGGTTTGTAAATAACTATTCACTTACAGTCCTGTGCCAAATAAGAATGGTCTCTAGGGAAGCAGATAAGAGATATTTTTATTAACACCAAGAAGTTGACATTTTCCCCACTGGGTCTTAATGGGCCTAGATTATCTCCACATAAGCAAAGGAGTTGATAAAATATTTTCTGAATAAACAGCTATTCTATTTGCAGGGCTGTTAACTTTTTTTCCATATTAATACTACCCAATAACCAACTATTAGTAACTTGGTTCAGATATGTATGATAAGTAAACATGAAACTTCCAAGAAACTTCCAAGAAACACTCTGTTATTTGAAGCAATCCTTAAATACAAGAGTGCTGCAGGACTGGTTCCAATACAGAACTGGAATGGAAATCATTATCAATTTCAGTGACCCTAGTTTCTGTTAATCTCTGACGTCCTAATCTCACAACAACCTTACTCATCAGTTCCAAAACTGTAATTAAAACAAGGATGGGTTGCGGTTTGATACATCTCAGGTTAAATGGAGGTTGCTGAAGTTCCACTGGCTATCTTCCAAGAAGGAGTTCTGAGGATATCAAAACTTTAGGATCCTTTTCCACACAGTCACATCCAAACCCTCTCTCAGGGAAAGTCTGGAGAATGTATTAAAAACAGGTTTGGAGAGCAGGGAATTATTTCATCTTGACCCTATGGAAGAATTGTACTGGCTATTACAACTCTTTCTCCAAGGCTGAGAGGGACATGAGTTTCTCTCCCCATGCCAACTCTATTTATTTCAAAGCAACTGTTGCAAGACTCCTGCCATCCCAAAGCAGAAGAACTGATGTACTGTAGTAGAACTTAAGAAATCTTTGGAATCCTTAAAGTTACTAAGGGGCCTTCTTGTTAAGCAATATTGGAAAAAGCTGTGAGTAGCACAGAATACTGTAAGTACGAATCCTAAAAGGGCTCCAAATGTACAGTATTTCTAACAATATCAAAGGAAGGAGAGAAGGAAGCTGGATACATCTCAAGTTTTCCCACACATTTACTCATTTGTGATTTTCTGGACTCTCCCAGGTAAGTTTATTCCTGGGAAAGGTGAGAGAAAATGCCTTTATACAAAGTTGCTCCTTATACTTGGAAGTTCCCAACTGAGAAGACTTGTGTGAAAATAGGATAAATCTTTGTGGGCACATGAAATGGCAGCTATAAGGAGATTCTAAATAACTGCCGTATCATAACAAATGTCAGAATGTTTTCTTAGAAAGTACAGTTATCTGTGAGGTAAAGGCATTTACTGCCAAAGCAGAGAAAAATTTGGAAGACAGAAGGAGGCAAAAACACTTGAAAGAAAAGTTGTCTTTTCTTTCTGTATATGTCTATTTATTGTACCCAACTACATAAAAAGTAATTTGGAATGGCACAAGTGATAACTTAGAAAAGCAGTGTGAAAATTTATAGTTTGGAATAAGGAATAGCCTAGCATAAGGGAGGCTTGCATGGGTAGTAGTAAGGGACCAACATTTTTAGAAATTTAAGAACAGATGTAACAGCCTTGATAACTTTTTAGGGGCCTTCCTTTATACAACTAGTCCTCAGTTAATGACAGTAATTGGGACCAGAATTTCCATTGGTAAGTGATGCAGTTGTAAAGCACGATGTCACATGACTGCAACACTTAGCGACAGCAATCCTGGCAGTCCTCATTGGCATCATTAAGCAACGATCGTGGGTCGTTAAGCAAGGACATCCTCATGACTTCCTGCCAGCTTCCAACAAGCAAAGTCAGTGGGGAAGCTGGCAGGAAGTCGCGAGTCCCAGGCAGCTCGCAAGCAGGCCAGCAAGCAGGTAAGTGGCTGCTGCAGTGAGAGCACAGCCAGGTGTGGGGCAGGTGCTCCAGAGGGTGTGAGGGCATGCGAGCGGCTGCTGTGGCACTACACAAACACAGCCAGACCAGGGGTGGCTGCTGCCAGGGATGGGAGGGTGTGCAGGCGGCTGCCACAGCCCCACACAAGCATGTCCAGGTGGGCGCTACAGCGTACGAGTTCCCCAGGATCTGTAGAAAAAGCGGTGGAAGCGACTTGCGACCTTCCCTGCCAGCTTCCCCATTGACTTTGCTTGTGGGAAGCCGGCAGGGAACATTGACAGGGTTATCTGCTCTGTTTGGCCACCTGTTTATTGGACCCAGGTCTCCCCTGGGTTGTTAAAGTGTCCAGGGAGATGATCTGTAGTTGGGTTCAGTCCTGTTGAGAGAAGGGCCAGTGTCTTCGGCCTTGAAGGAGGCAGCGGTGTGCCCCTTGCAACAGGCCAGCTTTGGACCCAGTGATTTTAGACAAGTATCATCCTGTCTCCAACCTTCTCTTTCAGGGGAAGGTTTTTGAAAAGTGGTCAGTCTGCAGTTACAGAGAACCCTGGAGAAAACTGGTCTAGACCTATTTGTACTGGTTTTTCTATTAATGTTTGTAAACTGCCCAGAGCCAGTTGGAATCAGGTAGTATCTAAATTGAATTAAATAAACAAGGCAAAACCTCAGCCTATACAAGATGCTGACATTACTGTAAAGAGTAAGTAGTCCATGACTCAGTGGAAACAGAAGATTTGACACCTATGAATCAGGTCAGGAGCTCAGACTTTTCAAGAAACCGATTCCACATTCTGCATAATCATTTTCTTAGAAGTTCAGAGTCCCAGGTAATACAGAAACCATAATTTAATCAACAGAATGGGCCATTCTTCTAGAACTCTTGGCTGTTCTACATGGACAAAGCTGCGTAATTAGTAATCAACTGTCATACAATGTATCTCAGAATCCTCCATCAGAATCTTCCATTGTTGTACACTTGTTTTGTGAGATGGGCGGCTATATAAATTTGACAAATAAATATATGGTGCTTGGAGTACCAAAAGAACACAAGCTTGAAGAGCGTTCTGTCACTTTACCTTTGGGTTAGTTCTCAGCTGCAGGCCTCAGCTTAACACTTTATGAGTGTACTTTACTATTTGACTGGTATTGACTACTTACTCAGAAGGTGCCATTTCCTATGGAAGAAGGACAGCTCTTGCTACATATTAGAGTTACCTGAGCCCTGGATTTCAGTTCAGGCAGAATAGGTGAGATTTAGTACACATTTATTTACCTTTAAACCCAAGAATACACACATTTATTAAAGGAGAAGCTTTCAGTATTTTTTAGATTTTATCTAAAGATTCCCCAAAAAGCTGAATAACTTACTCTAATGCAGGTCTCAGAACTCTAACTTTAAGTGCTTCCAATATTCGGTTGAGCTCCACAAATGGTTGCTTTTGACTTTGGTCTATAGAAAGTCCAGACTCCTGGAAAAAAAAAAAGTCATAGCCCATATCTATTAATTAACAGAGTATTTTTCACATTAGTATCTCTCTACAATTATTAGATAAAAGATTTATTTTGCCTCAATATTCTAGTTGCAATTACCTGACAAAGCTCCTCAGCTACGTCTAACATTCCTTGCCGGAAAAAGTGTTCAACCATAACTTCGTTCAGAATCCGCTGGCTATCAGCCTGCCAACATCCATCTATTCCGACACTGCTAATGTCAGAGTCAAAATTCTGTGAAGTGAAAAAGGATAATTAAGTCTAGAAGAAACAAATTCTTCTGATTTTATTTTATTTAGATAAATGTCAATATCTGCACTTTCAAACCCTTGCATCCATTACTAAATTATCTTCTACATTCAGCCATATTTTAAAATTGCAGATAGGCAGAAGAGGCTCCAAATTCTTTTCCACTATCCCCATAAATAAAATGAAGAACTCGACATATTCACATTTAATTTATGTAAGGCATTGTGGAAGAGGATGAACACTGCAGGCAGAGGATACTAGTTTTCATCAAGGGATATGACTGGACTCACTTGCTAAGATTTCCAAATATCTTTCATTTGCTCTTCTATACAAAAATGCCTTTTGGATCATTGATTATTGTACATTCTTGTTTCTTTTTTTTACTTAATCTTGTAAGAAAATATAAATCAATCCTATTTACCTCACAGCACCTGTCTTGTCATCTGGTTACAGAGGGAATTTCTACCACCCCTTTGACTTGGTCAGATCACTTCCTGGTCCATATGAGATTAGACAAGCCACCCACAACCTTTGCAAGACACAACCTATTCAACTGGTCTTCCCCCAGCATCTTATGGATCCAATAGTTTCTGAAATGTCTTGAGGAGTTTCCCAAAAATTTGGTAGGCAAATTCATCAAAATCCTTGTTGGCCACAGCAATGCAAGGCAAGCTGGGCTCTTGATGAAATCACTCCCAAATGGCCCCGTTGACCAATCCCAGTTGACTCCTTGATTTAGTCAGGAAATTCAGAAGGTGAAGTAGCAGAAGTAACACTTAGAGTGGCAGTGGCAGTAAAAAAGGCAAAACGCTTTTACTTCTCTCTAACTGTATCAGTGAGTGGTTGTACAGTGGCCTTGTTTAGGGTTGCTAATTCCATTTTGAGGGGAAGCCAATATGAAGAGCTCCAGCCTAGCCACTGCGACCATGTTCAAATATCATGCTAAACCAAATAATCATTTACCATGATAAGAGTGAATCATAGTAGATCTGTGCATAATCTCCCCTCCTCCCCAATTTTGTAGTTGAAATTAGTTAAAATTTGTTACATTCTGACAATATTAAATAAAACAGAAACTAAACTATTATTTGAACATTTGGAATGGGGGAGGAGGGTATGTGAGCTGTGGCTAGCATGATATTTTTAATATTCTTATTAGTTTCAATCAAACCCTAAAATATAAAAAATAAATTATCAGAATAAAGACAAGTAATTTCAGAAAGTACTTATGAATCCAGACAATTTTCATATATGGTATGGGTTTCAACTACATATCTTATGAGGTGAGCAGATCATATTATACAAAAAGGATTCTGATTTATAACTATTGTAATAATCAGCAGCATTTAAATTATATGTTTCAGGTTATATTTCTACTCTAATAGGATTGGTTTCAACCAGGTTATAATATAACTGAAGGCCTTTGGTTTGAAGACACACTAAAGACATCTGATTTCAGTAAGTGCCACTCTTCTCTGTGCAATGAATACAAAGCTCAAAATATTATTTTAAACTTTTTTTTACACTCTATCGTCCCATAAAGATGCTTAAACCAACTCACATAATAATACAAAAGATTTTGTTCTGTGAGCAGAACATATTTATAATCATGTATATACTTTTTTCTTTATGTCTGAACCAGAGGTGCTTTGGGAATATCTTACAAGCCTAAAAGTTCCCAGATTGCTTAATGACTTTTGTAAACACATTTCCAAACGCTCTGTTCAGAATTGAAGTCACAAGACAAACATATAATAAATGCCTGCAAAACTGGAATGATATCACTCTGGAGTCTTAAATGGAAAACTTATTAAAATTGGAAATCATATGAAAGAAAGCAATTAAATAACAAGGGGTAAAAAAGGTGTTTTTGTTAATAATTACTTAAATAACCAAAAGTGGCTAAGTTCAAATACTATTAAAACCAATATCTGTATTACTTTGTAAGCATTCATGTTAATTGTATATTAATAACCATTACATGTTGATTTCAAATTGAACCATGTTTTAAATCACCTCAGAGGCTATACTGTACTAAAATTGTTTAAAGTATTTAATATCTTTACTACAGTATTTTGTTTTACAAGACTTATGTTACAAGCAATGGTTTTTTATGTTACAAGACTTATGTTACAACACCATCATATTTACAATAAAATAACTGCATGTAAGTATATACAGGTTGTCCTCCATTATAACCATTTGTTCAGGGATCATTCAAACCTGCAACAGCGCTAAATGAATGGTACTTAATGACTGGTCCTTGGAGTTCCGGTTGTCTCAGTGTCCCATGGCCACGTGGCTGCCATTTGCAACTTTCTTTGCCAGCTTCCTACAAGCAAAGTCAATGGGGAAACCGGCATGAGGTTGCAAATGGCAACCACATGACATCCTCGCTTAATTACCTGCACTGATTTGCTTAACAATGGCAACTGGGGGGTGCCAGAACTGTGGTCACTAAGTGATACAGTCATGTTATGTTGTGCTTTATGATGTCGCTTAATGACAGAAATTCCAGTCCTAATTGCCATCATTAACCAACGACTACCTATAAGTATATGGAGGCAGCAAGCATTGGTAATAGTTATTGGACAGATCAGTTATCTCCAAAAAATGTGCTAATGTGTTTTTCATAAAGAAATCACTTTTAGAAAAAATAATAATCCTCTTTAAAACACAGTGTTTACTCTTTAGGACTTTATTATTAAACTGCTTTCATAAACATCTTTATAAAAATAGTTAGATCTCACGTAAGCTATGTATTACCAATAAAGCTCCAGGGAAACTATCCAAGGTAACAAAGATCAGTTTCTCTTCTAAAACATACGAAATATCCTTATGCTTTTTTCTCTCCCATCCCAAATGTTGCACTATGGATCTACCAATCACACTGCCTAGTATTAGCTAAACATAAGTTACAGTGGGGCAAAAAAGTATTTAGTCAGCCACCAATTGTGCAAGTTCTCCCACTTAAAAAGATGAGAGAGGCCTGTAATTTTCATCATAGGTATACCTCAACTATGAGAGACAAAATGGGGGGGAAAATCCAGAAAATCACATTGTCTGATTTTTAAAGAATTTATTATCTCACCCTGTGGGGTCAAAATGATCACAAGAACGGTGAGCAAAAATCCCAGAACCACACGGGGGGACCTAGTGAATGACCTGCAGAGAGCTGGGACCAAAGTAACAAAGGCTACCATCAGTAACACACTACGCCGCCCTATGATGAAAATTCCTATGATGAAAATTCCTATGATGAAAATTCCTATGATGAAAATTCCTATGATGAAAATTCCTATGATGAAAATTCCTATGATGAAAATTCCTATGATGAAAATTCCTATGATGAAAATTCCTATGATGAAAATTCCTATGATGAAAATTCCTATGATGAAAATTCCTATGATGAAAATTCCTATGATGAAAATTCCTATGATGAAAATTCCTATGATGAAAATTCCTATGATGAAAATTCCTATGATGAAAATTCCTATGATGAAAATTACAGGCCTCTCTCATCTTTTTAAGTGGGAGAACTTGCACAATTGGTGGCTGACTAAATACTTTTTTGCCCCACTGTACCAGTAATGTGTTCTACATATGATGCTTGCTTTACCTCATTTACACAAAAATTGCTCCCTGAGGTGGATCCTTTCAGACCCCGGGGAAATTTTTTCCCATTTGCTCCATTAATAATAATGATAATCATTGTGGGCTGCACAGTCAGCCAGATGTTTAGACTGGATTTGGGATTTTTAACCTATCAAGTCCTTCCCAAGAACCTGGGATAGGCAGATGTTGTTGGACAGCGTTAAAGGTATCAACTCAGGATGTAAGCTGTTCCAAGTAAAGCTGCCTTTTGCAATTGACTGATGGTGATTTTGTCAATGCCAATAGTGGCACTCCAGATGTTTTGGGATTGCAGCCAAGGCACCTATTACTACTGGTACTATCTTTGTTTTCTTTTGCCACAGTTGTTCTATTTCTATTTGCAGGTCTTTGTATTTTGTGGTTTTCTCCAGTTCTTTCTCTTCTATTC